TAGGTCTGGACTTTGACTAGGCCATTCCAAAACTTCCAATTTGTTGCTTTTTAGCAATTTTCATGTAGATTTGATTGTGTGTTTTGGATCATTGTCTTGCTGCATGACCCAGCTGCGCTTCAGCTTCAGCTCACAGACGGATGGTATGACATTCTCCTGTAGAATTCTCTGATATAGAGCAGAATTCATGGTTCCTTCTATTAAGGCAAGTCGTCCAGGTCCTGAGGCAGCAAAGCATCCCCAAACCATCACACCACCACCACCATGCTTGACCTTTGGTATGATGTTCTTACTGTGGAATGCAGTGTTTGGTTTTCGCCAGGCATAATGGGACCCATCTCATCCAAAAAGTTGACTCAAGTTTGCCAAATAGCACCTGGATGATCATCAAGACTCTTGGAAGAACGTTCTATGGACAGATGATTCAAAAGTATAACTTTTTGGACGACATGGTTCCAGTAATGGTTCTCACCCAAGATTTGACGGTACATGGCCCCGTCCATCGTCCCTTTGATGCGGTGAAGTTGTCCTGTTCCCTTAGCAGAAAAACATCCCCAAAGCATAATGTTTCCACCTCCATGTTTGACGGTGGGGATGGTGTTCTTGGGGTCATAGGTAGCATTCCTCCTCCTCCAAACACGGCAAGTTGAGTTGATGCCAAAGAGCTCGATTTTGGTCTCATCTGACCACAACACTTTCACCCAGTTCTCCTCTGAATCATTCAGATGTTCATTGGCAAACTTCAGACGGCCCTGTATATGTGCTTTCTTGAGCAGGGGGACCTTGCGGGCGCTGCAGGATTTCAGTCCTTCACGGCGTAGTGTGTTACCAATTGTTTTCTTGGTGACTATGGTCCCAGCTGCCTTGAGATCATTGACAAGATCCTCCCGTGTAGTTCTGGGCTGATTCCTCACCGTTCTCATGATCATTGCAACTCCACAAGGTGAGATCTTGCATGGAGCCCCAGGCCGAGGGAGATTGACAGTTATTTTGTGTTTCTTCCATTTGCGAATAATCGCACCAACTGTTGTCACCTTCTCACCAAGCTGCTTGGCGATGGTCTTGTAGCCCATTCCAGCCTTGTGTAGGTCTACAATCTTGTCCCTGACATCCTTGGAGAGCTCTTTGGTCTTGGCCATGGTGGAGAGTTTGGAATCTGATTGATTGATTGCTTCTGTGGACAGGTGTCTTTTATACAGGTAACAAGCTGAGATTAGGAGCACTCCCTTTAAGAGTGTGCTCCTAATCTCAGCTCATTACCTGTATAAAAGACACCTGGGAGCCAGAAATCTTTCTGATTGAGAGGGGGTCAAATACTTATTTCCCTCATTAAAATGCGTTTTTCTGGATTTTTTTCTGTCTCTCACTGTTCAAATAAACCTACCATTAAAATTATAGACTGATCATTTCTTTGTCAGTGGGCAAACGTATAAAATCAGCAGGGGATCAAATACTTTTTTTGATACACTGCCGATTTTGCAGGTTTTCCTACTTACAAAGCATGTAGAGGTCTGTAATTTTTATCATAGGTACACTTCAACTGTGAGAGACGGAATCTAAAACAAAAATCCAGAAAATCACATTGTATGATTTTTAAGTAATTAATTTGCATTTTATTGCATGACATAAGTATTTGATACATCAGAAAAGCAGAACTTAATATTTGGTACAGAAACCTTTGTTTGCAATTACAGAGATCATACGTTTCCTGTTGGTCTTGACCAGGTTTGCACACACTGCAGCAGGGTTTTTGGCCCACTCCTCCATACAGACCTTCTCCAGATCCTTCAGATTTCGGGGCTGTCGCTGGGCAATACGGACTTTCAGCTCCCTCCACTGGTTAGGCCACTCCAGGACCTTGAGATGCTTCTTACGGAGCCACTCCTTAGTTGCCCTGGCTGTGTGTTTCGGGTCGTTGTCATGCTGGAAAACCCAGCCACGACCCATCTTCAATGCTCTTACTGAGGGAAGGAGGTTGTTGGCCAAGATCTCGCGATACATGGCCCCATCCATCCTCCCCTCAATACGGTGCAGTCGTCCTGTCCCCTTTGCAGAAAAGCATCCCCCAAAAATGATGTTTCCACCTCCATGCTTCACGGTTGGGATGGTGTTCTTGGGGTTGTGCTCATCCTTCTTCTTCCTCCAAACACGGCGAGTGGAGTTTAGACCAAAAAGCTCTATTTTTGTCTCATCAGACCACATGACCTTCTCCCATTCCTCCTCTGGATCATCCAGATGGTCATTGGCAAACTTCAGACGGGCCTGGACATGCGCTGGTTTGAGCACGGGGACCTTGCGTGCGCTGCAGAATTTTAATCCATGACGGCGTAGTGTGTTACTAATGGTTTTCTTTGAGACTGTGGTCCCAGCTCTCTTCAGGTCATTGACCAGGTCCTGCCGTGTAGTTCTGGGCTGATCCCTCACCTTCCTCATGATCCTTGATGTCCCACGAGGTGAGATCTTGCATGGAGCCCCAGGCCGAGGGTGATTGACCGTCATCTTGAACTTCTTCCATTTTCTAATAATTGCGCCAACAGTTGTTGCCTTCTCACCAAGCTTCTTGCCTATTGTCCTGTAGCCCATCCCAGCCTTGTGCAGGTCTACAATTTTATCCCTGATGTCCTTACACAGCTCTCTGGTCTTGGCCATTGTGGAGAGGTTGGAGTCTGTTTGATTGAGTGTGTGGACAGGTGTCTTTTATACAGGTAACGAGTTCAAACAGGTGCAGTTAATACAGGTAATGAGTGGAGAACAGGAGGGCTTCTTAAAGACAAACTAACAGGTCTGTGAGAGCCGGAATTCTTACTGGTTGGTAGGTGATCAAATACTTATGTCATGCAATAAAATGCAAATTAATTACTTAAAAATCATACAATGTGATTTTCTGGATTTTTGTTTTAGATTCCGTCTCTCACAGTTGAAGTGTACCTATGATAAAAAATGACAGACCTCTACATGCTTTGTAAGTAGGAAAACCTGCAAAATCGGCAGTGTATCAAATACTTGTTCTCCCCACTGTATACACTTATAATGGACACAGTATGCTTACATTATTAGTTATCTTGTTGTTATTAGTTGTTGTTAGTTGTTATTATTCCCATCCTTCAACTTCATTCAACACCACCCATCTATCTCTTAACACCATCCATATTGGATTTCTATTTGCCATATATTTTTCAACTGTACTGTGATGTTTTACAAGAGTTCTGAACCTTTCTATTCTCATTGTTTCTACAGATTGTAAATTGAAAATAAACTTTTTTGCTAAAAGTATTATTATATTATTGATCGATTGACTATGACTTTTCAGATCACCCAGTAATGCTATCTGCAGGGTTAGCTCCAGGTAAATATTGCAATCCTTTAGCCATTCCTGGACCTGTGTCCAAAAACAAGCTACAAATGGACAGTACCAAAACAATCTAATGATTCTGTCTCTTCGCAGCAAAATCTGCAGAGCTGGGAAGATTGTATCCCCCATATAAATAACATTCTATTGGTGGCAATAATTTTATATAATAATTTAAATGGAACAATTCTAAGTTTTGAATCCGGCGTCGTTTTGCGTATCAGTTCATAAACACTATGCCATGGGATCGGTACGTCAAAAATCTCTTCCCAACTATTTTGCAATCTATATAGGATGGCTGTCAATCATTTGGTCCTTAAATGAAACTGGTATACTTTATTATTTATCACAGTTTTCTTTAACCAATTATGTTCTTTAATGCAAGGCCGACAGACAAGTTCCTTACATTTTCCCCCTTCCATTTTTGCTGTAATGCTTGAATTATTTGGTTGTAATTTTGGGTAGAGCAGACATTTCCATATGTTTTTGTTAGCTGCATGTGCGACATAACTCCACCAGTCCTACAGATGATATCATTTACGAAGATTATACCTTTTTGAAACATTTTGTTAAAAGAAAATGTTTTTTTTATCAATTATATATTTGAGTTTATATACATATAATTAAGCATAACGATTATGGCTTTAGATTGCAGGAAAACACTGTTTCAGGTGTTTGAAAAAAGCTAAATTCTGCAACTTAAAGACGGGGGGGCCTAGCCCTCCGGACCACCTACCAGTTATACTCACGTACTTGTGCCCCCTCAGATTTTTGGGCATGACGTCCCTCTTAACATCCCAGTGATAAAGATGGATCTTGTCTAACAGGATTGATCTCACATGCTGAAATAGGCTAGTATATCCGATGGAGTTTCAAACAAGCTTTTAGGTTGAGTCTTGTGCTTTTGCTTTTAGGTTGTTTGCTGTATGCTTTTGATGCTTACAGACAAGTGTCAAGCTAAATCTCAAATCTCCTCATTCAGTACACTATATGTGATACCCTGTTAATGCTGAGTGGGTCTATGGAAAGCAATTATTGCATTTACATTTTAGTAATTTACCAGACGCTCTTATCCAGAGCGACTTATAGTAGTGAGTGCATAAATTTTTGCAGTGAACTTTCAATCATTATCGGCTTTTAAATTCCAAATGTAGTGTCAGTCAAGGTAAGGAATGGGGTGTGCGATGCCCTGCATTCATCATTCCATATAGAATCATGTTGAATAGAGATAATTGAGGCGGTGTAACATGTATAAAAAACATTCTCAGACTAGTCTCACACAGACTATCACCATGCAAACCTCACTCTACAGCCAGCCATGAGTGCGTGACTGGACCCAGCCCAGCAGCTCCGGCTGTACCAGTCATGCTGGTATCACCCAGCCTATCTGCACTACTAACCCTGACCAACCGGTTTTAACCCTGTCTGCATACCAAATGGCACCCTATTGCCTTAAGGATTTGGTAAAATTAGTGTACTATTTAGGGAATAGGGTGCCATTTGGGACACTGCCTCTCTGTGACAAGGCTGCATGGAGTTCACTACAATCCAATGACGTCAGTTTACGGTGTAATAAGGTATAGCATAAATAACCATTAGCTAAAAAGGGCTACCCCTGCAGTTTGCTTGTTTGTACACAGGAACCAGGTAATGTAGAAAACAAATGTTTATTTGTTTTGGTATGTATGTACACATTACACCGTTGTGAGTGAAGCATTTAAATTATCTACACACAATAGATGTAGAGAGAAAAAGGACAGATTAAACGGAAAGTACAGGTAAATATGTTTAAAACACTTCAGGTAATAAAAAGACAGGAGTCATTTTTAAGGGCCACTTATTATACATTTGAGAAATAACATCTTTCACAGGCTAAAAATTTAAAATGTAAGGGTGCCTTTGCTTGACATGAATGGCACATAATTCATCATATACATAGAAAAGGTGATATTAAGCAGATTGAAGAGAAAAGGAAATAACTCTGTTTTTAAAGTCCCATTGTCTATCCCTTTTCATTGACCTTGCTTGATGATGATATCTGACATGTCGTCCACCTTGATGAGCTCCAAATTCTGTTGAAAGAAACAGACAATGAATGACAAAGAATGAGTGAGTGCTGCGGTTAACTCTTCCTTCACACTCAACCACCAAGTGAACACAGTCTTGATACTGAAGACTATTCTGATATTTTTTTCACTCATTGTTTTTTTTGACCAATCAGATCAGCTCTGAAAAAAAACTGATATGAAAATATCTGATGTGATTTTTCATAAGACCAATTAGTGAATTTCAGAATTGGGCTGCCTGTGTAAACACAGCCTATTTAGCACAGCCAAGATACATTAAAGTCCACTATGATTCCTTCCACAAACCCTCTCAACTAAGAAAACCTCCAAATATATTTTTTTGTTAATAATGTAGCTTTGTACAACTATATGTGATATGTCAACATAATAGCAATGTCTAGAACCAACTTATTTTAGGAATGCTATGATTGTGGTCCTCTGTAGCTCAGCTGGTAGATCACCGCGCTTGTAACGGCCAGGGTAGTTGGTTCGATCCCCGGGACCACCCATATGTAAAAATGTATGCACACATGACTGTAAGTCGCTTTGGATAAAAGCGTCTGCTAAATGGCATATTATTATATTATTATATGCTGGCAGTCAGAGGAGTAGCTACTCACCTTCTCATTGGCCAAGTGCAGCAGGGCGACGAACGCCAGGGGCACGGACAGGTTCTGAGCCATGGTGGGGGGCAAGCTGAAGGGGCAGGAGAGGAAGGAGAAGATATGGGGTTTATTCAATTATTTATCAGCACTTATGTCCTATCCACATCCGTTTGAGCAAATTAATGTTTGGACCATCCCCATCCAAAGTCCCTCAGTTGGCAGCAGTGTCTAAATCAATTATTCATGTCTATCTAGCTACCAGTTTAAGGAAAAAATAAGAAGCAAATCCACCACAATTTTTCAAATTGCTCTCCAATGGCAGCTGAGAAAGAACACTAGAGCCATTTGAGAATGGGCCCAGTACTGATATTAAGGCTTGGTACCTTTGAAGCAGGGTCTGTGTGGTCTGGCTGAAGACTTTCTCCCCAAACACTACTGAAGTCTCCACATTCTTCACCTCCTGCTGAGAACACAACACTGTTAATCACAAGGAAGCAGTCCTGGGTTCAAATACTATTTGAAATAATTTAAAATACATAATCTGAGCTTGATTGAGCTTGCCCATTACAATGGTACCAATATAAAAGTGCAAACACTGTCCACCTGGTACTCCAGGCAGACTTAAGCAAACACTTAAAGTATTTGAACGATTTTAAATAGTATTTGAACCCAGGTCTGCAAGGAAGAGGCATGGAGGGAAGACAATAACATTTGCCGATCACAGAATCCAATCAATGAGACCTGGCGGGGAAAGAAACTGACCTTGGCTGGTTTTTCCAGACTGTCAGTCAGAAGATTCCACATGGTGTTCTTGAGCCTCTTCATGTCCATCTTCTTGGCTGTCTTGGCATAGTTGATCTCAATCTTGTTAACCTGAAATGAAAAGTAAAGCTAGGCTTAACAACATTTAAAAGGGATAATTCTGCCACATTAGAAAACGCGATATTGGTTTCCTTGCCATGTAAGCAGTCTATGGACAAGGCAAGACAGCAATACATGCTTTGGTCTTGTTTATCTGGCCACTGTCTCCAAATGCAAACTTTTCAAACAGACACTCGCTAAACATTGGCTTCCCCTTCCCTTCAGTCTTACCCTGTGTGGCTCTGGCACCAGGTCATCCTCCCCATAGGTGGACACGTCGTCATGGTTCTTGTGAGGAGGCGGGGTTACCATCCACAGAAGGCTGGGTGTCATCTGTACCCCCAATGAACCCTTCACCATCATCATCACTTTCACCGCCCTTATATAGATTGATAGAGATGTAGAGAGAGATTAACCCATTATTTGAAGCAGCTACTAAACAATTGAGGGCCCAAAATGTGGCATTGATGGGGGATAAATAATGCCATGTTATAATGGCTACATCTGCATTGCTTGCTGTTTGGGGTTTTAGGCTGGGTTTCTGTATAGCACTTTGTGTCATCTGCTGATGTAAAAAGGGCTTTATAAATCAATTTGATTGATTGATATTACAAGGTGAAAAAAGGTATGAGGGAAATGAAGTGTTGAATAAGACTGTGGGAGATTGACAGTATGGTGGTTTCAGACCTGCAGTCCGGGGCAGAAGTTGGCTGTGTCGTTGGCGTTGTTGTAGTCGTAGTCTCCGATGCCTTCCCCCAGCTCTCCAGACAACCTCTTCTGGCCCTCTTTACATAACTGACATAGAACACACAAGTTAACTGACATAGAACACATCGCGTGTGTTAGTGGCATCACAACCCTCACTTCTAATTAGTCAATGTTTACCATCAAGGTTCTACATTGTCATTTTTCCTCTTGTTTTTGTATGTAAGAACAGTGAGAGAAAGAGAAAAAGATTGAGGTGGGTGGGGGGAGAGAAGGAATAGGACAGAGGGGTGATACATAGGGGAGAGAGAAAAAGTGAGAGAAGGAGTGCGAATCAAAGATGTTAGTAGTACAATGGATAACGTTGTAGCAGCGTATCAGTTCCTGTCAGCTACGGTGATGAAGGTCTGATTGTATCTGGTGGCGGCTGCACATTGTTTTAGCACACCACTGTCCCCCTGTATCGCCATGGAGATGCAGGACAGGGTCAACTGGTATGCGGCACATTTATTTCTATGGTGTTTATTCCATGCTGGTTGTTGGGATAAAGAGGGTGTAAGGGAGGCCTTACTGTGCTGGCGGGCTTGAGGCTGAGTTGGGACAGGGTCTCAGGGGGGAACTGGAAGTCTGCTGCCAGAGTGGTCTTCTTGTTGCTTGTGCTGAGGGCTGACTTGGTGTTAGTGGTAGCGGCCTGAGAGAACCCAAATAACATAGACAGAGGTGAGAGAACTGTCTGAGTCCATATATGAGTGGTGGGGAAACCCCTTCAGCTACTAAAACCACATTTCCTCTGCTGCAGTGACTAATATGAAACTGCACAACTGTCTCACACACAGGCTGGGATTGTTAAGACACTTGACCCCTGTATTAGCATCAAAACTGATTTACACAAGTGAATAATACAGTAATTGTCACAATGGCAATGGCTCAGAAAACTGGCACTTAGTGAGTGATGCTCTTGGGTACGGATCAAACAATCATCAAGACTAATTGAGAGGGATTGCATCAGCGAACTAGAGGGGTAACCAAGGGCTTACTCTAGTGGCGCGGAAGTAGGTGTCAAAGTTGACATCGTCATTAAAGTCGATTTCAAAGGCCTTCTTTGGCTTTCTCTTGCGACCCTCCTTCTCAGGCATGTTGTCCTCTAAACACACAGAGAGAGCGAGACAGAAAGCGAGAAGGGAAGAATGAAGAAGATATATTTAGTGGACAATGCTGTTAAGGGAATATCCCAAACATACATAAACAACATGGCTCTCTGTGTACAACCACCACTCACTCTTGAGCAGAGGTTTGAAGCGCCAGTAGCCAGGGCCTGCCCAGGTAGCCATGGTCCTGGGGCTGAAGTAGGAGTAATCTCTGGGCTGGTCGGACAGCTGCAGACACATGGTGGCTACGTCCCCCTCTCCGATGGGAATCACATCCCTGTAAACAGTCATAACATCACATTTTATTGGAGATACAGAAATACAAAAATCTGTTTCCTTATTAAGTCTAGAGACTTGAAAAAAATAATGACCCATTTTTGTGCATAATAAAAAATTAACTTACTAACACGTCATCAGCTTTGTAAGGCCAATTACTTTTGCTCTGATAAGTAACTAAATCCTAAAGCTTTAGGTCTGGACTGAATTTAAGTAGGTCATAGTCAGTAGTAGTGGAGCTGTTTCTGTCAAGAGTAAAATGGTTTCTCTTCATTCATCCTGACATCTAAACTGGATATTTAAAAGGGTAATATGCAGTTGCAACATCACTTTTTTTTTTTTTTACGTATAAAATGAATGATATACAGTGCATTCAGAAAGTATTCAGACCCCTTGACTTTTTCCAGATTTTGTTACGTTACAGCCTTATTCTAAAATTGATTAAATAAATACAAATCCTCCCAATCTGACAAAGTGAAAACAAGTGTTACATTTTTGCACATTTATTAAAAATAAAAAACAGAAATCCCTTATTTACATAAGTATTCAGACCCTTTGCTATGAGACTCGAAATTGAGCTCAGATGCATCCTGTTTCCATTGATCATCCTTGAGATGTTTCTAAAACTTGATTGGAGTCCACCTGTGGTAAATTCAATTGATTGGACATGATTTGGAAAGGCACACCTGTCTATATAAGGTCCCACAGTTGATAGCGCATGTCAGAGCAAAAACCAAGCCATGAGGTGGAAAGAATTGTCCGTAGAGCTCCGAGACAGGATTGTGTCGAGTTACAGATCTGGGGAAGGGTACCAAAAAATGGCTGCAGCATTGAAGGTCCCCAAGAACACAGTGGCCTCCATCATTCTTAAATAGAAGAAGTTTGGAACCACCAAGACTCTTCCTAGAGCTGGCCGCCCGGCCAAAGTGAGCAATCGGGGGAGAAGGGCCTTGGTCAGGGAGGTGACCAAGAACCCGATGGTCACTCTGACAGATATCCAGAGTTCCTCTGTGGAGATGGGAGAACTCTGCAAAAACTCTGCAGCACTCCACCAATCAGGCCTTTATGGTAGAGTGGCCTGACGGAAGCCACTCCTCAGCAAAAGGCACATGACAGCCCGCTTGGAGTTTGCCAGAAAGCACCTAAAGGACTCTAAGACCATGAGAAACAAGATTCCCTGGTCTGATGAAACCAAGATTGACCTCTTTGGCCTGAATGCCAAGCGTCACGTCTGGAGGAAACATGGCACCATCCCTACGGTGAAACATGGTGGTGGCAGCATCATGCTGTGGGGATGTTTTTCAGTGGCAGGGACTGGGAGACTAATCAGGATCGAGGCAAAGATGAACGGAGCAAAGTACAGAGAGATCCTTGATGAAAACCTGCTCCAGAACGCTCAGGACCTCAGACTGGGTGCGAAGGTACACCTTCCAACAGGACAACGACCCTAAGCACACAGCCAAGACAACGCAGGAGTGGCTTCGGGACAAGTCTCTGAATGTCCTTGAGTGGCCCAGTCAGAGCCCGGACTTGAACCTGATCTAACATCTCTGGAGAGACCTGAAAATTGCTGTGCTGCGACACTCCCCATCCAACCTGACAGAGCTTGAGAGGATCTGCAGAGAAGAATGGGAGAAACTCCCCAAATACAGGTGTGCCAAGCTTGTAGCGTCATACCCAAGAAGACTCGAGGCTGTAATCATTGCTAAAGGTGCTTCAACAAAGTACTGCGTAAAGGGTCTGAATACTTATGTAAATGTAATATTTCAGTGTTTTTATTTGTAATAAATAAGCAACAATTTCTAAAAACCTGTTTTTGCTGTGTCATTATGGGGTATTGTGTGTAGATTGATGAGGGAAAAAAACAATTTAATCAATTTTAGAATAAGGCTGTAACGTAACAAAATGTGAAAAAGTCAAGGGGTCTGAATACTTTCCGAATGCACTGTGTAGGAAAACTTGCTCTTTCCATGACATAGACTGACTGACCAGGTGAAAGCTATGATCCCTTATTGATAACGCTCGTTAAATCAATGCAGTTGAAGAGGAGGAGACAGGCAAAAATTTTTTTGACAATTGAGACATTGATTGTGTATGTGTGCCATTCAGATGGTGAATGAGAAAGGCAAAATATTTAAGTGCCTTTGAACGGGGTAAGGTAGTAGATGCCAGGCACACCGGTTTGTGTCACGAACTGCAAAGCTGCTGGGTTTTTCATGCTCAGCAGTTTCCAGTGTGTATCAACAATGGTCCACCACCCAAAGGACATCCAGCCAACTTCTCACAACTGTGGGAAGCATTGGAGTCAACATGGGTCAGCATCCCCGTGGAATGCTTTCGACACCTTGTAGAGTCCATGCCCCTACGAATTGAGGCTGTTCTGAGGGAATAAGGGAGTCCAACTCAATATTAGGAAGGTGTTCCTAATGTTTTGTACACTCAGTGTATACCTATTGATTCTTGAAGAATGTAACTTATAAATGCCTCATTAGCTTAGTTCAACTGTCATAGCCCATCAGAACACAAAATATACACTTGTTTTACTCCAATGTCTGTAAACGTAAACAAAATAGCCTCAAAACATGGTTAAAACTATAAAATGTTGGGTCAGTCCCTGCATCCATAGCTCTATGAATTTGAGAGTGGTTACATTTCTCCAGCACCATCCCTCAGCTTTTTGTTATCGTTTCAACTGCTGATAGCCGCTTTATTGGGTCTGGGTGTGTTACTGGCATAAACATTTTTTTAACACTCAGGAGATCATGGTACACAAAAAACTCTAGACAGAACAAAGTCACTTCAAGCTACCTGACCCGTTTAGAAGTGGAATACCCTTTGGTGCCTCATGAAACATCCCTGGGGTCCTCTACAGGTATAAACAAGCAGAGTACCAACACAAAACCTCAGTATGTTACCCCCTAGGTTGTTACCACCCTGTAACAAACACCCTCAATATCCTCACCTTCCTCTCCCGGGCCCTCCAGCCTCACAGCCATCCTTGTGTTCCTTGGAGCCGTCGCCACCATAGTCCCCCTGACCCTCCTCATAGTCTCCATCAAAATCATCCCCAAAGTCCTGACACTCCTCCTCGTCCACCTCCGCGTTCACGTCAAACACGTGATCCCCCTGCTTTAACTTCTCCAGCATCTGGTTCATGGTCTGTATATGACAACAGTTTATATAAAGACTATGGTTAAGATACTCTGAGGCTGTTTAGCTACTGTTTCAAACTGTACATCCAATCTGACCATCTGCATAATTTCCAAACAAAAATAAAGACTATATCAAATCAAATGCACCAATTTGTAAGTCGCTCTGGATAAGAACGTCTGCTAAATGATGTAAATGTTATTTGTCACATACACATGTTTAGCAGATGTTATTGCGGGTGGGCCCTGGTCAAAAGTAGTGCACCATATAGGGAAAAGGGTGCCATTTGAGACACAGCCTGTGTATATTGCCAGTGTATGTTGCTCTGACCTGGTCAGGGTTCCAGCTGGTGAAAGAGAAGTCTGCCAGGGAGGGGCAGATAGAGCTCTTCTCCTGGGTCCGCTGGAGACCACCTGTCAATCACACAATCAACATCTTTACATGCTTGATACTATTATCGGAACAAGTAGGCCAACTGTCAATACCTTGGCTTACAGCATCACTCAATGATCAGTAGAACCAGACATATTATATGTCTCTGCAAAAATCTAGATATTACGCTAGCCCACTAAGGGGCAGTATACCCGGATAAAGCACTAAATAAACTTCAGTTAGTGCTAAATACGGCTGCTAGAATCCTGACTAGAACCAAGAAATTTGATCATATTACTCCAGTGCTAGCTTCCCTACACTGGCTTCCTGTTAAGGCAAGGGCTGATTTCAAGGTTTTACTGTTAACCTATAAAGCGTTACATGGGCTTGCTCCTACCTATCTTTCCGAGTTGGTCCTGCCGTACATACCAATACGTACGCTACGGTCACAAGACGCAGGCCTCCTAATTGTCCCTAGAATTTCTAAGCAAACAGCGGGAGGCAGGGCTTTCTCCTATAGATCTCCATTTTTATGGAACAGTCTGCCTACCCATGTGAGAGACGCAGACTCGGTCTCAACCTTTAAGTCTTTACTGAAGACTTATCTCTTCAGTAGGTCATATGATTGAGTGTAGTCTGGCCCAGGAGTGTGAAGGTGAACGGAAAGGCTGGAGCAACGAACAGCCCTTGCTGTCTCTGCCAGGCCGGTTCCCCTCTCCACTGGGGTTCTCTGCCTCTAACCCTGTTGCAGGGGCTGAGTCACTGGCTTGCTGGTGCTCTTTCATGCCGTCCCTGGGAGGGGTGCGTCACTTGAGTGGGTTGAGTTACTGACGTGATCTTCCTGTCTGGGTTGGCGCCCCCCCCTTGGTTTGTGCTGTGGTGGAGACCTCTGTGGGCTATACTCGGCCTTGTCTCAGGATTGTAAGTTGGTGGTTGGGGATATCCCTCTAGTGGTGCGGGGGCTGTGCTTTGGCGGAGTGGGTGGGGTTATATCCTTCCTGTTTGGCCCTGTCCGGGGGTTTCTTCGGATGGGGCCACAGTGTCTCCGGACCGCTCCTGTCTCAGCCTCCAGTATTTATGCTGCAGTAGTTTATGTGTCGGGGGGCTGGGGTTAGTTGGTTATACCTGGAGTACTTCTCCTGTCTTATCCAGTGTCCTGTGTGAATTTAAGTATGCTCTCTCTAATTCTCTCGTTCTCTCTTTCTCTCTGAGAACCTGAGCCCTAGGACCATACGTCAGGACTACCGGGCATGATGACACCTTGCTGTCCCCAGTCCGCCTGGCCTTGCTGCTATTCCAGTTTCAACTGTTCTGCCTGCGGCTACGAAACCCCTACCTGTCCCAGACCTGCTGTTTTCAACTCTTAATGATCGGCTATGAAAAGCCAACTGAGAGACCTGAGCCCTAGGACCATACGTCGGGACTACCGGCCGTGGTGACTCCTTGCTGTCCCCAGTCCGCCTGGCCTTGCTGCTATTCCAGTTTCAACTGTTCTGCCTGCGGTTATGGAACCCCTACCTGTCCCAGACCTGCTGTTTTCAACTCTTAATGATCGGCTATGAAAAGCCAACTGAGATTTATTCCTGATTATTATTTGACCATGCTTGTCACTTATGAACATTTTTGAACATCTTGGCATGGTTCTGTTATAATCTCCACCCGGCACAGCCAGAAGAGGACTGGCCACCCCTCATAGCCTGGTTCCTCTCTAGGTTTCTTCCTAGGTTTTCGCCTTTCTAGGGAGTTTTTCCTAGCCACCGTGCTTCTACACCTGCATTACTAGCTGTTTGGGGTTTTAGGCTGGGTTTCTGTACAGCACTTCGAGATATTAGCTGATGTAAGAAGGGCTATATAAAATAAAATTGATTGATATACAACAAAAACAGCCCAGGGGCCGTATTTATCATGCGTCTCAGATTAGGAATGCTGATGTAGGATCAGACTTCCCTTATTCATATCATATTATTTTTATTTAAAAGACAAAACTGATCCTAAATCAGCACTTCTACTCTGAGGCGCTTGCTACATATGGCCCCAGATCGAAGTGTGATGACACGGTCATTGTTACCTGTGAAGGGTGTTGCAGGGACGCACTGCGGCGGATGCTGGGAGCAAGAGGGCCTGGAGTGCAGCAGGGTCATGTGGGAGGGGAAGAGGAGCTCACAGCGACTGTCCTCACTGAATAACACTGACAGGAAGACACCTGCCGTGCTGCTCTCGTCAAAGGATGACGCCATGCGCTGGAACATGGGGTCAACCTGGAGTTGGAGGGGTAGGACGATAACGAGGAGGGGGATAATATGTGTGAGCTTACCATGAATGAGCTTTGTAGAAACTTTCACAATCCAGGCTGGATCCATACTCTCAGGAAATGTGATAATAAGTCCTCACATTAAATCAAGGCATTCCTAATCAATTCCATCTTTATTCAGTGTCTGGCTATCAGTCTCAAAGATTTCCAGGTGAATCCACAATGATCACAAGTGTAGCCTGGGTTGCATCCCAAAAGGCACCCTATTCCCTATATAGTGCACTAATGATGACTAGATCCTTCCCTATATTGCAGGTGTAGCATTTCGCTACACCCCCAATAACATCTGCTAAATATGTGTATGTGACCAAAAATTTTTGATTTGATATAGGGAAGAGGGTGCCATTTGGGACGCAAGCACTATTTGGCTACCAGTCTCGAAGATTTCCAGCTGAATACACAACGAACACAACAAACACAGGCATAGCCTGGTCTTTTACCTCAGGCCAGTCCTGGAGCAGGAAAACCATCAATTACCTCACACTTCCTCTCAGACTCAGAGCTGTTGATGTTGCTCAGGTTCTGCTCCACAGTCTTCTTGGGATGCCTCTTCTTCTTCACCACTTGCTTAGCAGCCAGGTCACCTTCAGCCCCCTCCTCCATCTCTCCTTCATCCCCTGCTCCATGCTCTACACAAACACAAGGAGAGGAAAGGTTCAAACAGAGGCTGTTGATCTGTTATTGTTATTTATTAAATGACAGAGAAAGTCAGTGTCACACCCTATTCCCTAAATAATGCACTACCCTATGGACCCTGGTTATTCGGAAGTGCACTATAAGGGGAATAGTTTGCTATTTGGGAAACATAGACTGTGTAACGATGTTATAGTTAAGAGGCTTTCACCTTCCCCAGGCTTGGTCTCAGCACCCAATCCTCCCAGGACTCTGTAGGCATCAGCATGGACAGCATCCACTCTGACCGCATAAATCTTGGTGCTGGCGTCCAGGGTACCCGCTGCCACCTTGGCAGGGACAGACAGAAACAGTATGAGATGGTCACTCTCTCATACAGCCAACAGACGCTAGGCCAGTAAAGTGAAATGAATAGTCTATCATCAACTCCATTATTTTGGAGTAGGCCTATAAAAACAATGTATATCTTAAGTGGTTGGGCTATAAGCTTATTTCTTCTCTGCATTAGCAGATTATACTTTCATCTCCTTAATAGTAGTAGCGCAAATCTGAAGAGAGTCTTGTGTAATGAGGAAATTCAAAGAGACATATAAACAGAAACTACAATAAAGGAATAATTTAGGTCTAAAGCCGTACCTTGAAATTTGTGAGCTCAGAATCCTTCTGTTTGAGGATGTCAGCCATGTAGTCAATCAGGTGGAGACCAAAGGCATTCTTGGTGGTAATTTTCTACAAAAACAGAACAAGGCTTTGTAAATCTGAGATGCCAGTTTCCAATAACTTGCATGGTTGGAGATATTATGCCATAATAAATTAAGAGGAGGGAGAGCAACACATCAACATTTCCTTGGGATGGATTCTGCCCCTCTTAGAAGTGGCTGTTAACGATAGTAAATATGTGCATGCACATTCTGCTTACATTTTCAGTGGAGAGTTTGATGCAGGTGGAGTAATGCTCTGAGATCTGTGCATTTGACAGCTTAGGCACAGCTGCAGGGGTCCCCGTGGTGCTGAATACAAACAAGGATTGTCTCTTATACAAAGGTCTAAAAAATATATAGGACACCTGTCAATATGTAGTATAGGAGATTACTAGCAAAGAGAGGGCTTGGGGTGTCCTACCTATGAGAGGCAGATTCATTAAATGAGGAGTCAGTGGCGGCTTGCAGGTCAATGACCCGGGATCTGCGCCTCTGACGACGCTCCATCTCATCATCGTTGCCTGGGAAAGATGCGAGGAGCGATGTGTTGCTGGCAGCAGGAGAGGCGCCCTTGTGCTTCAGGGACGGTGAGGCCCACTGACGCACCCGGGAGATGGGTGTGGAGGATGCGCTCATCGTGACTGTCCGGGGGAAAAACGGACACAGTGATGCACATTCAGTTCTTTATTCCTCTCTGCTTCCTAAAGTTGCATTTAGACAAGTTATACTGTAGCTAGCTACCATTACCATTATATGTTAAATGTAACAGTTGGATATATGAGCCTAGCTAACGTTACCAAGGCAAAGAAGACTTGATTTGACAATATTAAAGCAGTCATAACATCTTGTTGTTGGCAAGTAACCTTAAGCTAGTTAGTAGGGCTGCACAAGCAAAATCCAGCCTAGCTAGCTAACGTTAGCTAGATACAGCAAGGTATCGTTTGTGATTGTTGTTACTGTAAGCAGTGATACCAACGTCAACTAGCCAACGATTTAGCTTAAAAACATGACACGCTGGATTAGCTTGCTAAATTGCTATATAGTTACAGTATCTGACATCAGTGAGATAACTAGCTAGCTAACTTCCTATCCTACAGAACATGTTTTAGCTAACGCTAGCTACGAATGCTGGATGAAAACAAAAAAGCTGTAGATCGATTTCATACGTTACCTCGATTATATCCAACGCTTCTGGAACAGTGACTTAATCTTTCTATATATAAATATTAAGCTGCCTAAATGAACACGAAGCGTGTTTTACTTTGTACTGATACTCTTTTCTTCCTGATCACATTTGAATTTTGCGCCGAACGGTTTACGTAACGACAGTATGCGTCACCACGTTGAATCAAGAACTTAAACACTCGACTCCGCCCATACCCACATTTTGGGCAGAGAGGCTTACAAACGTTTGCATTTTGGTCATTTAGCAGATGCTCTTATCTACTGCGACTTACAGTCCGTGCATTCAACATTCAAAAGCTAGGTAAAATAACCACATATCATAGTTATTGCAAGTAAAACTTTCTTCAATAAATATTCTCTGTCTGTGGTCAACTGTCATCAGGCTTGAGAAACCGAATGACCACCTCTGGAACTAAAACTTGAAACAACTTAAATAATAGAAAGAAAAAAAAAGAAATGTTATCAAACAGAAACTAAATATAAAATAGTAAATCAGGTCTGAAAACTAACTGAAACTGAATTAAAAAAAAAAAGAAAAGAAAGAAAAACTAGTATTAAAAACTATAATAACATTGGTAGCCACAGCAGCCATTATGGAAGGCACGTCGCGCTGAACAACAAAGGAGCTGATTGGCTGACACTGCCATTCCCAAATGGCTGCTGTGGCTTCTGATACCTAGCATGACGACAAAAAGGGCAAACTCAATAGCGTGTGATTGCTACACCCGCTATAACATCTGCTAAACACGTGTATGTGACAAAGAAAATTGATTTGATTTAATATACATATCCTTTAAAAAATATATATTTATCTTTATTACTTTCCAACCCCACCACCCCTTCCTTAATTGGAGTAAAGTAGTGATCAACAATGCTTAGGCCTCTACTTCCAGCTTATACATACTATATAAATTTTATGGACACAGTCAATTTTACAATAATTATATTTTGTTTGTTTTTACTCATGAACTTCCTCAACCTCTCCGATCATTTTCATGATGTCCATCCGGTTTGCTTCTATATGCCATATCTTTCTAACTGTGCTCTTTCACAAAAGCTCTCAACCTATAACCTATATACTTATTATGGACACAGTATGCTTTACATTAGTTATCTTGTTGTTATTCATTGATGTTAGTTGTTATTAGGCCCATCCTTCAACTCCATTCAACACCACCCATCTATCTCTTAACACCATCCATATTGGATTTCTATTTGCCATATATTTGCCATATCATATTTTTCAACTGTACTGTGATGTTTTACAAAAGTTCTGAACCCTTCTATTCTCATTGTTTCTACAGATTGTAAATTGAAAATAAACATTTTTGCTAAAAGTATTATTATATTATTGAACGATTGACTATGACTTTTCAGATCACCCGTAGTGCTATCTGCAGGGTTAGCTCCAGGTAAATATTGCAATCCTTTAGCCATTCCTGGACCTGTGTCCAAAAACAAGCTACAAATGGACAGTACCAAAACAAATGATCTAATGATTCTGTCTCTTCGCAGCAACATTTTCAGAGCTGGGAAGATTGTATCCCCCATATAAATAACATTCTATTGTTAGCAAGAATTTTATATAATAATTTAAATCGAGATGCATTTCAAACGGTCATTAGCTCCCGTTCAGTCATTAGCCCCGTTCTACTTTTGGCCATCAAGTCGGCTGCGGCGTCTGTGGAACGTTGATAACAATGGCAATGGCGTGACGGCGGTGCAACCCATACTACTTTGCCAATACTTTGCGGCACCATCTGGTGATTGTGCCTGCCCCCCCTACAAGTTCTTGGCCAAAACTGAGTAAAAACAGGGAGACCATTTTTTTTACATTTAGAAAACTCATAATTACTTGAGATATAAATTACTTTAAATATATGTCTATCTGTGTTAAACTGATGATGGGAACTCACTTATACTCTGAAATTCCCAAAATGAGTCCAACACCACAAAGATTAATGGGATCTTTGACATTCCTTCGACTCTGCTTGACTTTTTTGGAAGGACCAACACTTCCTGAAAATAAGAGTCACATGGATTAATTTCTGTGGTGCATATTTCATTCAGGTGGTCTTGAGAGAGAGACTCATCTGTCTGTCTGCGAGGATGTGGTGGTGGTGATGTGGTAGAGCTCCAGTTCTGTTACCCGAGGACCCTGATGATGACTTCCTCCTCACTCCCTGTGAACTCGTCCCTAAACACCTGAGGACTTCCTTTGTCTGTCACCTAAGGACATCCTTTGCTGTCCCACAATTCTGTGGTTGAGAGAGCTGGTTGAGTTTTCATTAGCAATCTGAAGGGCTGCTGTGTTTAGGAAAAAGGCAACAAATCCTCACAAAAAGTTGTGAATGTATGAAAACCTTGTGATATCACAAATAAAAAGGGACACATGTTACAGTTCTCTAAAGGAAGAGTTGACTAAAACATTTCCCATCTGGTCAATGGGAGGAGCAGGTTCATCCTGGCTGTTCTTAAAGTGGAAGTTTACCTAAAATCAAACCATTTCCCAAGTGATTCCATACAGTGAAACTCGTTAGGTGGAATTTGCCTTTTCCCCCTCTCTCTCCCTGCAGTCCAAACACGTTATTTTTATCCCCCCCGCATGTCCAGAAAATTATAATATATGTAGACAACATTGATTTTAGCGTTGGCAAATTGGCTTAGTCTCGTAGTGAGGAGCCTATAAAACGTAGCTAGATTCATAAACATATTTTTGGGCATTCTGAAATGTATTGGAATCAATGACCAAACTATCAAACTAGCTATCCAGCTATGGGTAACTGTAGCTAGCTACCTGACAGGAGTGCTAGCTAGCTACGTTAGCTTACTAGGTACATTAATAGCTTTGGGTTGGTTGTTTTTAAGCTCAATTTCAAGATTTCCACCAAGGACGTTGCCTCTCCGATCATCACTCTCCCTCGCTTGGGCAAGGGATTTTATTTTATACATATTTTTTAATTTAACCTTTATTTAACTAGGCAAGTCAGTTAAGAACAAATTCTTATTTACAATGATGGCCTGGCAAAAGGCCTCTTGCAGGGACGGAGGCTGGGATAAAAATAAATAAAGAATAGGACAAGAGAGACAACACTACTTAAAGAGAGACCTAAGACAACAACAACAGCATGGCAGCAACACATGACAACACAGCATGGTAGCAACACAACATGACAACAACATGGTAGCAACACAACATGGCAGCAGCACAACATGGTAGCAGCACAAAACATGGTACAAACATTATTGGGCACAAACAACAGCACAAAGGGCAAGAAGGTAGAGACAACAATACATCACACGAAGCAGCCACAACTGTCAGTAAGAGTGTCCATGATTGAGTCTTTGAATGAAGAGATGGAGATAAAACTGTCCAGTTTGAGTGTTTTTTGCAGCTCGTTCCATTTAAGGTACACTCGGATGTAACGATGTAAAACGTCATTCAAGGGCTGAGGGTTTAGGGCCGAGGGCTGTCAACTTAAGCAATAAGGCTCGAGGAGGTGTGGTATATGGCCAATATACCACGGCTAAGGGCTGTTCTTATGTACGACGCAACGCGGAGTGCCTGGACACAGCCCTTATCCGTGGTATATTGGCAATATATCACAAACCCCTGAGGTGCCTTATTGCTATTATAAACTGGTTACCAACGTAATTAGAGCAGTAAAAATACACGTTTTGTCACACGATTGGCTGTCAGCCAAACAGCATTCAGGGCTCAAACCACCCAGTTTATAATTTCAGTTTGAAACGCAGCCTGGAACTGGAAAGCTGCAAAAACAGGGTCACATGACTCTGTTCAATTGTCAGTCAAAGAGCTATTGAGAAATCTGCGAATTATAGATACATTCTTTGTGTTATTGGCGTACGGCCGAATTCTCTATTTTTATCTGAAGTACTATAGGTTTTGAGTCAGGAAATGTTTACTTTTCCACCTAAAACGAATGCGATTATTTTATATCATAATTATGTGGCCAACTGCAACAACAGCAGAGATAGGCAACAACTGCGCATGTGCGCTCTCGTGGGGCAATCCCTTAATGTAAAAACTGGACATAAGGCCATTATTCACAATCACAGATACAACAATTTTTTTGGGGAGAAGTGAAGACAGTAGCCTAGTGTTACAGATTAATAACACTAGGCTATATTCTGACAAAGAATTCAGGCAAATTGAGCTTCAGATGGCCGCCGCCGCTGTAGCCACCGAGACCACTGCCCCAGGATGAACGCAGATTGGTGGTGCAGTTATGCAAACTGTGCTCCAATGCCGACAGAGAATTTGATTACATGACAGGTACTTATTGATGATGAGGAGCAGTTAGTTTGCTTTCACGACCACAGGGATTTTGCTGCCCACATCAACTCTGGTGTCCTGGAAAATAATTCCGTATCCCAAAAAGAAATTGGAGACACAAACCCATTCCAGCTGGGTCAAATGGACAATTATCTGACGAGTAAGTATCTGAACTTTACTTTATTGAATGATCGCTTATCATAAACCTCTATGAGATGGACCGTTGTGGGTTTATGCTTTCACATTAGCCCAAACACTGTCCTGATATGTTTTTTGGCATCTTTTACTTTAATAGGATATAGACAATATAGGCCTACACATTGAACTTGAAATAACAGCAAAATCTAAGAACAGAAAATAAGAAACTCATATTGTCAAAAAATGTAATGTTAAGTACATGACTGCTGATCCAGATTCTCAAATCTGTGTTGGTTCCATGAGCTGAAAGAAAAGATCCCAGAAATCTTCCATACGCACAAAAAGCTTATTTTTCTCAAATTTTGTGCATACATTTGTTTACATCCCTGTTAGTGAGCATTTCTCCTTTGCCAAGAGCATCTATCCACTTGACAGGTGTGGCATATCAAGAAGCTGATTAAACACCATGATCATTACACAGGTGCCCCTTGTGCTGGGGACAATAAAAGGCCACTGAAATGTGAAGTTTTGTCACACAACACAATGCCACAGATGTCTCACGTTTTTAGGGAACGTGTAATTGGCATGCTGACTGCAGGAATGTCCACCAGAGCTGTTGCCAGAGAATTGAATGTTCATTTTTCTACCATAAGCCGCCTCCAACGTTGTTTTAGAGAATTTGGCT